CAGTGCCAGGACTCAGGGGCATCCAAACGACAGCCCTCCCCTGGCTTTATCTGCATGCCAACTCATGATCTCACTCACTTTCTGAGAATTTCCCAGAGCAAGGGAAGATCAGACAGACTATTCCACTCTGTTTAGGGAATTCCACACAACCTATGTCCAAATCACTCCAGCTGCTTGTCTTAATCAGGTTACCAAAATTACCATCATCACTGAGGGGCAAACAGATAAAGACCTCTGACCTGACCCTCCACAGAAGACCAGACTTACATAGTACTCTAGTCAGAAGTGTGCCTTGAACTCAGCCTGACCAACATCATACCAACCAGAAGAGGGATGGCTTAACATCGCCAGCTGGTGCAGAGATGGAGGAACCACAGCAGGTTGACTAACACAGGTCACATGACTCAACAGCCCTGGAGCAGGAGAGGTGGGGGGTGGGGATGGACACACAGGAAGGAAATGTCAGGACAGAATTAGACAAAGAGCCTGGACTCTGGCAGAGTTAGTGTAGCTACACGTGGAAATGTTTCTGTCCTTACGAAATAAGCACTGAGTATCAAGGGGTAAAGGGGTACACAGCCAGAAGTGATGAACCCCAGTCGTCTCACCAGGCAGGAGGGCTGAGGCAGGAGGATCCCCTAAACCCAATTTGAAGCCAGCCTGGGTAATATGGAGAAACCTATCTCCAAAGAAAAAGGGCCGGTGGGGAACAAAGGGATTTTCACAAGTTAATGACAAGGAGAAAGGAAACTGGGGAACAGAGAGGGGGAGGCAGGGAGACTGGAGACAGGTGGGAAGAACCGCTTCAACGCGGGACAGAGTGCTAGAAACTGGCAAATCTGAAAGGGGGGAAAAGTGAATGAAAGGCATTTTGACTTCTCTTTTTATTTCCCCAGCTTTTCTATTAAACAAAAGTGTCAGAAATCAAAGAAAACGAAACCGAGTAACTTGCTTAACTCAGAGCCTAGCTCCTGAAACGACAAAGGGAATTCCGAAAGGTCAGCAATCCCATCCTGGAAGTTTCCTCTGAGAGAAATTGTTCATACTGTAAGGGGCTGGTGCGGCTCATCGGCACGTTCACATCCTGGGGGTGAGGGGTGAGGGGTGGGGGAGGTGAAGGGGAGCCCTGTGTTGCTCTTAGTAGGGTAGGTGTCCAATCTTGCATCCTTTGTCATTGCCTGTCCCTCGGGCAGGTCCCTGCAGTGACAAGAGCAGATGGTCCTGCAGACAGAAAGGACCAGGAAATGGGGAGGCACTCGGCTTTCCTGGCTCACCTTCCTGTGGGAAGAAAAGCACACCATCCAGGAGTCCCTCCATGCTTGCTGGTCAGTTCCATGATAGGTGAACACAAGGGCAGCCAGGGAGGCAAGGAACCACCACAGAGGGTCAACATGTTCAGTGTGACTGCGCCAAGCAAGAGCTCCAGATTAAGAAATGAAAGCCACCACGTTTGGTAAACAGCTTCGTGGTGCTGTGCTTTTGAGCCAGTCACTAGCTAACGAAAACACACATGGGAGGAGCCTGCAGACCATCTCTGGCTCAGCAGCGAGCTGGGGCCGTCTCTCCTCGGATGGTTTTGGGTGGAAACAATGTGTCTGGGTGGACCTGTATGCTGCTAAGTTCCTCGAGAGGAAAACTGAGGCTAGCTGAGAAGCGCTGTGCTGCTGGGATTCTGTGGCTCACACAGCAGTTTTGAAAACCAACATGGTGAATGCTATGAATGTTACAGGGACTGCAACCAGTTTTCTTTTAAACATTTGGCAGGGATTCTTTTTTTTTTTCTCCCTCCTCCTCTCCTCCACCTCCCCAACCCATCCTCTGTAAAAGCTCAGAAAGGGGCAGGCCCCCCCATGAGCTTCAGCAAAGTGTACAGCTCGGCACATCAATCTTGGCAGGGGGTAGTTAGATGGGAAGACTTTGCATCTATAACTTTTAGCAATAGCTAAGGATTTTAGCACTCCGGTTCATTTTTGAAATATTTTGATGAGTTTGGGGCTGTTTGTCTTAACATGGTGAACTAACAGGAAATGCAAAGCCTCCACCAGATTGGAGCATAACAATGAAATCACCAAATATAAACCAGCATGATGGCAAACAGAGGAGACGTACAGGGCAAAAGGTGAGTTCTCACAGAGGGTTCCAAGTCGGAAGCTAGAGCGCTCAGTGTCTGTGAGACATCCAGAACCCAGGGCTCCAGAGGCAAGGTAGGGCTCAGGCTACACTGCGAGAGATGTCATGACAGAGGCAACCCCACTCACTTGGAGCTACCAGAGAAAAGACAATAAAGGTTTCTTTCTTTAATATCTATCCGCATCTATCTATCTATCTATCTATCTATCTATCTATCTATCTATCTATTGATCAACTGATCAACAGAGAGAGAGAGAGAGCGCTAGGCAAATAAATTTTGGGGTTGTCTTTTTTTTTTTTTAACCCATTATTTTTTATTTGTGGTTCTGTGGCTGGAGCCCAGGGTCTCGGGTATACTAGATAAGCATTTATCACTGAACTACATCCCTAGTAAAACTTGTATCAGAAATAAACATGTACATAGTACATGCCAGTTACTGAATGGGGGGAGGGGTTCACAAGGAGGAACACTGAATTAATATCCCGTGTCATTAGAGCAAATTAAAGAAATTTAGACACAGAGTTGACCTAAGTATCCAGTATTCATGACAACTGTCTTGTGTGGATTTACTGCTAGGTGAGTTAAGAACATGCCTTATGGGGGCTGCTGAGCGGAGATCATAGCGGGCCCTGGCTCCCTGCGGCAGCTCTTCTGATCTAGGCCCTTGGATGGCCTGGGGACCACAGGCAGCCACTGCTGAAGGAGGGTCAAGCTCAGGCATGGCTTGAGGCTAGAAGCAGACAGCCTGGTTCTCAGGCAACCTGAAGACAAGAGTCAGCAGCCTTAGCACCCACTCAAGGGGGCAGCTTCCTGCCACAGAACCACTTTTAGACTATCCCAAGCTAACAGTCACACCGTATCATCAACCCAGAGCTTTTTAGTTTGTAAATCACCTGACATGTTTAACCAAAGAAATCTTTCCTATGTATCAGGTCGTGTGACAGACACACTGGTTTGCACTCCCTCATCATAAAAGGAGAGGCTAGCACGTAGTTCCCATATGGGCCACCTGCCTGCCCAGGTCTCTTCCCAGGGCCCTCCTTGCTGTGTGTGGGGGTGCAGCTGGCTTCCTGGCCTCCTATCCTGCCTTACCTGGTTGGCTATGCCCTCAGCAAACATTCGGTCTCCCTTCTGGGTTGGTACGTCTTCTGCCACACACAGGCACACGCAGGATACCTGCCACGTGTTGGCTCATCCACTCACTTGCCAGTGGCTGGGTAGGCAGCCATACCTGGAATAGGTGAGGGAACTTGAGACACCAGCCCTAGGTGGGGCTCATGAAACCCTGACATGGGGGTTTGAATGTGCCCACCAAAGCTATACTGACACATGACACCCACAGTGGGGGGTTAAAAGGGGCCTCCTCCCAGCCACCAGCTTCCACAAGCAGCAACAGCTCTAGCCAGAGGAGGCACATAAGTCACCATGTGTCCGGCCCTGATCAGAGCCTTAGAAAGATCTCCAGGAACCTAAGTTAGACTTATTAGTCCTTTTAGCCCTTCTGCTCTTTGGAGATATGATATCCCTTCCACCTGGGGGTAAAGCAATGTTCCACGGAGGAAGGACCAAGCCTCTTCCTGACCGAAGCCACCAGCACCTGACCTTGGACCTCTATGCCTGGGAAACTAGGTGTGGTTAGTCTCTGCTCTTCCTCCGGGCCAGGCTCAGGTGTGGTCACTATGGCACGCAGGACAGACAATTCAGGACTTCCATCAGGAGGGTCACCACGGGCTGTGTGAACAGGCGCTTAAGAGCTCAGGTAGAGCTATGGCCTCTGGCTAGCAGCGTCACTGTGGGCGGTCACCAACCCCTCTGGACCGTTGCTTCCCCAGCGATACTGTGGGAGCAACAGGGCCTCCTGAGGAGCTGTTAAAGAGGGCCAGGGCATCCAACTGACCTCAGCAATGGGCCAGTCACTGGCTGTGCTGCACTGAGTCCAGCACCACTTGGGGGAGCCTGTGGCATGCTGGGAGAAGAGCTGGTCCTAAATTAAAGGGGCGGGGCCAAGGCATCAGTGACAGCCGGGGAAGCCGCTGGGCTGTTTCCTGCCACTCGATACCCCCAACCCATCATTCTCTACATTTGAAAACAACTCGGGTATCCAGAATGTGTCCCTTTTGCAGTAGCTAAAGACAGAAAGCAGGCAGGGCCTCAGACATGCTACATAAGCACTCTACCCTTAAGCGACACCACACCCTGTTCTAATTCCTAACAGATGATGCACGAGTCTCTGGGGCACACGTGCAGCTGAACCTTGGCCCATGTGAGCCACAGAGCAGGCCAAGCCTAGGCTCACGTCAGTGTCCTCCTCACCATGCCCCTCTCAGAGACCTGTCCGGCAAAATCGTGGAAACCGTAAAGATGTTACAGCTAGAAAGCGTGGCCGCTCTCCGGGAAATAAAGACAGGGCTAATGGTCACATCACCCCAGAGCCTTCTCATCGGACACTCTTGCCTCCAAAGTCCCAGGGGATGTGTGTGGAGCAACCAGAGGCCACTTGAGCTAGGGAATGGCGCCCAGCTGACACACATCAAGACGGAGGAAGCAGTGTGGAGGTCATGCTCCTAGTGTCGGCCAGAGAAAGCGGCTCAACTTTCCAACTGTGTTCTGGTCATCTGAAGACAGGTTCTGGACACGGAGTGTTCTCGGACGCTCCAACAGTGAGTCTGAGCTCACGGTAGCAGACAGGAACTGGTACGTGTTTGGTTCTGTAAACAGTCATAACTTTATTACGCTTCGCAGTTAAAAACTGCCGGGCCTGTGCCTGCGCAAAGCAGGTATAGGAGCTACAGGGTTTTTAGTTGATACTCTTAGGGACATAAAATAAAGGCCTTCGTAGAATGAAATAAATAGGCATCATACATCCTGATAAAGTTAAAAGCATTAGTATTCAAAACATGCGGTGAGGCCCATGATCCATGGCAAACATAAGTCACACATGATTTTCAAGAGCAATTACCATTTCAAAGGTGGTTTTTGTACTTTAATTGTATACTTTCAGGGAAAGTTTCCACGTCTGCCAATAATATTGGCAGCCGGTGTTTGGATGTCCCACCCACAGTGCAGGTAAGAACACTTGCTTGCCTATGGTCACATCAAGCAAGCTGCCTGTTTCTTCTGTGTTCTGGCAACTCGGGCAGAACATCTCTGGGTACAGGGACCCCCCTCACAGCCCACAGGGGAAAAGTCGCTGCCCTGCCTTGAAATTGACAGAGCAGAATTGGGGGCTAGGCCAGCCAGTTTGGTCAATGAGAAATAGCTCGAAGATCCAGACACCATGCCAGGAGGGGTGGATAAACTAGGCTCATTCAGCTACTGAGAAAAACCTTTTACCGGAACTGCGTCCTTCCGCCATTTGCCACTAGAGGGTGCTGCTGTGTCACGGGCTGAAACTTCCACGGGCTGGGAAATGGTCACGAACATCAGCAAAAATCACATTTTCTTAGGCCAATTCTTTGTAATGAGAAAGAACGTGACTTCCAAATAAGGCACACAGACTGTGAGCGTGCTGACTCGTCCACACCCACCCGGGGTCCTTCCTAACGCGGTCCTTTCAAGTATTCAGGCTGGCCTCCTTAGCAGCTTGCACACCTGGCCACCACGGCTCCTCCCGACCCTGGCCTGGCAGACACAGCATGGCTGAGCCCACACCAGAGGAATCAGAAGGTGACCACGGCGGCCGAGACCTCCTGCGGGCAAATCAACGTCCCAGCAATACTTCATGGCTACTTCAGAGCTAACACTAAAGGACAAGTTAGTATTCACCTACGTAACGAGTATTCACCTTGTTCACCAGCTCCTCTGTAAGAGTCACCCTCTGTGGAGCTACCGGGTCTCTGGGCACTAGAGCCTCTTCTTCTGAGGCACCTGGCCATTGGTCCTTTCCTGCCTGCTGCCCTTGGTTTCGGGCTGGGCGAAGTTCCAGTCCACGGGGTTAAGAAGCTGCTGGGTCTTTTTGTGCGTCCAGTAGGGGTTGAGGATGAGTGTGAGCAGGGCCAGCCCACAGAGGAAGAGTGCAAAGTGAGGCAGGTACAGGCTGCCGACCAGGGCGCCCCAGTGCTGGAAGCACACCCACCACATGTGGTAGGTGAGGATCATGCGGCAGTGAAACATGTGGATCATTAACCACTGGTTGACCTTCCAGAACAAGGAGTCTGACCAGCCAGCCTGTGGACGAAGCGAACACGGTGTCAGTACGGAAGGTGACAAGGTTGTGTGCCCTTTACGCACCATGAACTCGGTTCAAAGCAACAGGCTTCTAGCCAGCGCTTGATCTCCCGGGCTTAATTCTGAAGGAAGATGAGAGCCTGGGCCGGCCAGCGCCTCATCGGCGGGGCCTGTTCCGCTTACTTCCTACTCCCTAAGGCAAAACTCAAATCTTTCTATCTTGAATTAGCACCTATCATAAAGCAAACAGGCCCCATTTATCTAGCAGCAAGAGACACACACCCTGGAGCAGTTTGGAGAGAACATATATCCTGGTTCCCTTAGCTCTTTCATCTCCGAGGGCCTTGGATGAAGGCTAAAATGGACGTGCTATAACACCGTGCTATGAGCACAGAGGTGAGTTTCTGCAGTTGTGGACGAGGCCGAGCAGCACTGGATGCCTTGCCATGAACATAAGGCCAAGCCTTCGGGCCTCCTCAGACTGCCAACCCCAGATGCGGATGCGGCAGCTGCTCCCTCCTCCCAGGAGGAGACACGACCCTGTAGGCACAGAATTTGGGAACTGGGTGGCTGGGGATGGGCCTGCTAGACTCAGGGCCAGCTGGGAGAGCAGGAAGCTAAGGTGTGAGCTACTGTTCTAGGGGCAGGACCACTGGCGTCTGACTCGAGGCTCACTGCGAGGCTGTGTTACGTCACCTCCAGGTGGACCGGGAACAAACTTCTGAATCCAGCACACCAACAAAAGCAGAAAGTTGCTCTCACACTGCCATAAAAATGCGTGCAAATGCTGTCACACCTGAAGGCTAAGCGTCACCGATTTAAGGGGTGGCCTCCTGAGTGTTTGTATGATCACAAACAGCTAGCTCTCTTGGGAACATCTTAAGTATTGAAGTAAAACAATTCTTCCTAGGACGTGTGACACTAGCGACTGGGTCCTAGGAGCCACTGAGCTGTCCTTTAACTCCATTTCAAGAAGCTGGAATTCAGCCAGGTGACGTCTCCGCGGCACGGCTGCCTCATGGCAGGTGCCGGGGACACACTCCTCGGTTGACACTCTGCAGGCAGCCACAGCCCTCCCACATCCCCCCCCTCAGGAAGCACCCACCTTCAGGAGCATCCAGGAAACGCAGGTGAAAGGTGTGCTCATCTCCAAGAGCAAAGTGGTCATGGCCAGGTAGTGGCCGGCTCTGAGATTGACCGCCGAACCCAGAAACCCAAGAAAGGCGAAGAGGTGGTGGACAGCCAAAAACGCGTCGAACGTCCGGAAGAACAGGTTGGACAGGTGAACGGCCACGTTCTCAAAGAGGAAGAACCCGGTGGCTGTGGTGACGTGAAACCAGCACCAGTTCTGCTGCCCCAGAGCCTTGTCAGCGTGGAGCACGGGGTCCCCCAGCAGAGCCCACAGGCCGGCGGCCGTGCTCTGCACACCGAAGACTGCGCGGGTAGCCGCCAGGTTCCAGAAGACCTTCTCTTTGGCCAGCAGAGAGCGGTAGGTGGCGTTCAGGGAGGAGGACAGCTGGTGGCACACCACAAAGACGCCCAGGTAGAAGACAAAGCCGGCCACCGCCAGGGTCGAGCGGATCTTCCAGGAAGCATAGTCCAGGTCAAAAATGCTCTCCGCCATGCCATGGTTGCTCACAGGAGTCATGATCCTAATCTGGGTGCCAGGGGTGTCCCCGGGCCAACACCGGGTAGCTGGGCCTGACAGCGCTCCTCCCTTTCAGGGAAGCTGTCTCAAGGGTCTTCGGCCATCCATCCTCAATCTGAGGAAAGAAAATTCACCTTGGGCTGACTCAGAAGGTGGCGGACAGTAAGACACATCACTGCCTCCCTCCCTCACACAGCCTACTCACACCCACCTTCACCCCAGGACAATGTGTGGGGAGGATGTCTTAAGCTTTCTACCTCACTCTTAGGCTTACAAACGTACATGAGCCCTGCAAGAGACCTACAGAGAGCACAGGAAAAGGAAAGAAGATGATCCCCGAGATGCTCTGCCGTGAAGGGAGGCAGACACGTTCTAACAGACTCGGGCTATGCTCTTCCCACAGAGCTCCAGCCTTGGCAGCAGTCTGGAAATAAACTACATAATCCAGAGGCCGAACAGTGACACTACATTCTGTTGAGGCCCTTCACCTCTAGAATCTGAAAGAAGAATGTTTCCTTCATGTTCCGGGTTTGGAAAAGCTGTTAATAAAAATATTATGATCTCTGCCAAGTACATGGACATGGATGGGGTCAGGAACACCTGGCTGGGTTCAGATCCTACTCCTGCCTGTACTGGACATGTGGCCTTTGGACATTTCTGGGACTCAGTTTCCCTAAGAGGAGAACAAAACCATGGGCACTGGAGAGCAGCGGATGCTATGGGATGGAAGCAAAGTCTGGTACATGGTAAAGGTTGAAAGTCCCTCATCTGGAACATCCTAAGAGTTCACTTCCTGAAATTGCTGTTAATTTGTTTTATAGTTTATACCAAGAACCTGTCCTATGCTGCTTTTCCTGACTTTAGTTCCTCTGATAAAGGACTCTAGCAGAGCTTCCAGAATAAGTCTGGACTACTACTGCCCGGGACCTACCAGTGTTTGGGTATGACCTACTTCCTTTCTCGGGCCCCAGCCTCACATTCTCCTGCACCTTGCTCCAGGCTCTAGCTCTCAAGTCCTGAGTTGTAACTACCCTGCCGATGCCTCTGGTCCCGACCAGCCAGCTTAAATCCACTTGCTTCAGATGCTCTCTAGTCTGTGCAGAAGCACCACACACACCGGGCCAAATGCCCTTCAGACCAACCCACATGCCCTCGGGGACCGAACCCAAGCTGCACTCTAGTGCTCAGCCCCAGCCTGCACGCCACCAGCCCTCTGAGGCAGAAGCCCAACCTACCCATCTTTATAACCCCACTGCCTGGTACAATGGCTGGCACACATGAAATACTTGCTGAATGCACGCAGATTCCAAATTGTGCTTAGATGGCAAAAGGTACCTAAATTGGATCTACTTTGTGAAACTGTGAAAGTGAGAATGTTAAGATTGGAGAAAATCTAGCCAGGCGGTGGTGGCACACGCCTATAATCCCAGCACTCAGGAGGCAGAGCCAGGCGGATCTCTGTGAGTTTGAGGCCAGCCTGGTCTACGGAGAGAGATCCAGGACAGGCACCAAAACTACACGGAGAAACCTTGTCTCGAAAAACAAACAAAAAGACTGTCGGAAATCATGAGACCTGACGGACCTTTCACTTCCAGAAGAACCAGCTTAGCAGTCGCAGAAGGCCAGTCCCACAGCAAGGTGGATGAACCCTGACCCTACTTCCTCAGAGCAGGGTGCTTCCGGACACGGACACACACACTTTGGGGGATGGAGGTAGACCATCACAGCAGGGCTGTGCACTCATCAACTAACCGGGAGGCAGCAGGGTGGAGAGCCGGAGCACTACATTAGCTCCTAGACTAATTCACTCGCCCTGGAGCTGCAGAAAGCCGCAGAGCATGTGGCTTGTGCTGAGCCTGAGAGCTAGGGCCGCCCCAAAGGACAAAGGACCCTGTAGCCCTCATACTCCTATTGGCTGCGGCCCTATAACCAAGGCCAACATCCTAGAAGTGCTGGTTTCCCCCAGATTTAACACAGGACACAGCTGGGTGGGCACAACTCTCATACCCACGCATCCCCCACAATTCCAGGAGCCCCATGCCACTGTCCCCTGATGGTGGTTTCCGGACACATGGAAATGTTCTCAGGAGATGACAACCTAGAGGCTGTTCTGTGCACAGCCTACACCTGTGGCTCATGCCTCCACTTGGAACACCACCACCTTATTTCACATTTCCAATGACTCCAAACGTTACTCTTGGGGTTGGGGATTTAGCTCGGTGGTAGAGCGCTTGCCTAGCAAGTGCAAGGCCCTAGGTTCAGTCCTCAGCTCCAGAAAAAAAAAAAAAAAGTTACTCTCACACAAACAAACTTAACATGTTCACACAGGGCTGGGGCACTTGGCCTTGGTATGGCTCTGTATTTTTTCTGAGAACAAAGCTGGCTTTGAACTCATGATCCCCACCACACACACACACACACACACACACACACACACACACACACACACACACACACACACAGCTGAGTACTTTACACCTTCTAACCCAGGCACATTAAAGCCTAGTATAGTACTACAAATGAAGGCAGAGATCTTCCTTCCTGGAACTGGAGAAAAAAAGGCCCCCATTCTGCACTTGTCTACAAGTCATGAGACAGGGCACAAGTTCCCATTTTACTGCGATTACATCACTGTATCGGTGGCCAAGATACCAGCTACTATGGGGCCTGGACCTTGACTCTGGAAATCTCTATTAGGTCCACTTCCTAAATCAAGGGACATGAGAACTGTCTCACGAAGGCTCTGGTTTAGACAGAGTGGGAGGAACCCCAGAGCATCAAGATCAGTGGCTCAAAGACAACCCGGCTGAGTGGGTTCTCCCAGCTTCACTGAGCACGGGGGCTGACCCCGGAAACAAAATACACGGAGATACAGGACAGCGGAGTGAGAAGCACCCGCCATGTCAGGCACATCCAACTAGTCTGTTTCTTCTTCACCAGAGAAAGAATGCTTCCAAATCTTCAAGGCATCTTTTAGAGCAAGGGCATCTAAGGAAGCACCCCACATCGGTCACTGACAGACTTCCTGACCATTCCAGAACAGGTGCCAAATAGTTACAGACACGATGAATTAATTATACACCAGAACACACACCACACTTCAACCCCTATCCCCACTTCCCCAGGCTGGTTCAGAGCTCGGCTCTCCTGCTACGTTATGTTTCCATAAAGCACCATGCGCAAAGCTCTGGGCAGCCTGCGTTGTCTTGGCAACTAACATCACCAATCAGCATCCTTCATCTGGGGAGGCAGCAGCAAGGTAAACTTCAGCGTCCTCAGCCATGAGAATAACAGGCCAGGTTCACCCGTCTGGTGTTGGGGGTCCATCTGGCCATCCGTCCCTGGAGTCCTGCAGAGCCCTGCGGGGTCTCTCTGCAGAGTCACAGCTGCGCCTGCTAGGCAGCTCAGATGTGTATGGGACCAGCTCAGTTCTCTTTTCACATCTATTTCTGCTCCTCAAACTAACCACATCCCTCTCACATTAGAAAGGCAAAAAAGGGACACCGAGGTCATAACCATTCCCCTTCTGTGTGCCTGCTTCACACCAAGCCCGACTTGAGGACCTCTCCATACTGCTTACTGTCACTTGTCCCTCCAGTTAACAGTCAGCAGCCCTCGGTCTCCATGGAGGAGGAGCCAAAGGCAGGACAGAAGGAACTTGCAAAGGCTGCCACTAGCCTCAGCCCAGAGCCCACTGCAACTCATCAATCCTTGAGGGTGGAGGGTGTCTCTCCAAAGCTCATCTCATTCTATTACAGTCAGAGGCCTGAGCTCTGCTTGCACTGAACTGAGCCTTTTAAAAACAAAAACTCCAATGTACATAAACGAATGAGAGTGTCAGTTTAGTGCTGTGACCAGAGGGCCACATCACCAGGAGCTTAGATTCAGCACCCAGGGAAGCCTTCAGCTTTCTGTTGGCATCTGTGAGTTCCTCCAGATGGCTAGGTGTAGCAGAGTTTTTGTGTTTGGTTGGGATAATGGACCCCAAACTTGGAACTGCAGTCAGAGGGAATAATGGCTGTGTGTTTTCTTTCAGAACACCACCCAGAAATTATACCACGGCTAGGTCTCAAACCCGGGGACACAGGTGCCCATTAACACATCAAAGCTCACGCTGGCTGCCAGCTTCTCCCAGCAGCGCCTACCTGTTACAGGGGTTCTCCTGGCTGGCATACCTCATCCCTATCCTAAACTTCTCCAGCCCAGGGGCTGGGCTACCCTTCCCTATATAACTCAGCCACTTCAGTCACACAGCCCTTTACACCTTTTTGGTCTCTTGGTGTCCTGGCTCTCCTCTCTCCCCTTCCCTCACATGGCCTGGCTCAGGATCATGTTCACTCTGGACTCTCCCAGATGCCTTTGCTCTCCCTGTATCTACAATAAACCTTCTCCTCCACCATACCTCGGGGCAGTCATGTCTTCCTTTTTATTTCTTTTGCGCATCCAGCCATCAGATGCACCGTTTCCCACGAACAGAGCAAGTCCAGTCGCTTGACAATCTCCAGTCAGATGTGGCCTCTGTTATAAGCTTCCTTGATTTCTCTTCCCTTGGGGGGAAAAGGGAGGTGGCGGCCATGGCCCCAAAGGCTGTGGTTTCATTGCACCCCAGGACACTCACCAGTCCTGTGTCTAACTCACACATCTTAGCTCACTCAGCACTTCTTTGGGTACCCCACTGCAGAAACCCTCCCTTTGTTTTCTTTTCCACACCGGCTGTCACTCTCCCTTGACGCGATCAATAGAACAGGCCCATGGACTATCGGCACGAGAATTCCCCTAACACTTCCGGAATCACGCACAGGTGGTGGGTGGAAATATTTTCCCAACATCGAAACAAATACATGCTTAAACAAAACTGACAAAACATAAGCCTGAAAATGGAGAAATGAAACCGTGTTATCCCCTCTAAGCAATACCAGTGAGTTTCTGGCACATGCTGAGTCAGTCCTTCCCTAGACAAAAACATTTCCTATTTTTTAAAAAAAAGGAGGGGGCCGGGCGGTGGTGGCGCACGCCTTTAATCCCAGCACTCGGGAGGCAGAGCCAGGCGGATCTCTGTGAGTTCGAGGCCAGCCTGGTCTCCAAAGCGAGTTCCAGGAAAGGCGCAAAGCTACACAGAGAAACCCTGTCTCGAAAAACCAAAAAAAAAAAATAAAAAATAAAAATAAAAAAAAGGAGGGGAGGGAGATAAACGCATGTAAGCTGTTTACTGTTGCTTTGCCTTGAGCGGCACATCAGTAAACCCCCCTCACTGATCCTCTTCCATGTGGTTCTCGGTGGCCTAGGGGACACGAGACCAGGATGTGTATTCATTTACCCATCCAGTGTCCTAACAGGGTCCTCCAGTTTCTCATTATCCTAAGATATTCTGTACAGAGTATCTCAGAGAACTTTCATGGGACCTGGAAGAGAGGCCCGGGTCTAAGTGTTGTTTCCATTAACAACGAGAGCCTGAACGCTAGGGCAGGTCTATGAGAGCTAACAGAAGACCCGGTGGGTGTGGAGGCATCTCATATTTTCACAATATACGATGTTTCCTTAATCATGGCCTTTTCCAAATGCTCACATTCTTCCTGAAAAGCTTAAGTAAAAAACAAAACAAAAAACCATGGAAACAAATCCAGTGTATAGCTACGGATTTCATATATTCAAACAAGGGAAGAAAATGAATAGCGACAAATTCAAACAGTACTTAGCAACTGCCACCTGCCCCCAGCCATTCCGACAGATTCTTAAAGCCTTCTAAAAGGCCTCAGGCACCCACGACCAAGCAGAGCTCCACCCTGTCCTTATCAGAAGCAGCACTCTAAGCCCCAGGACCTGTTATCTCCCGTAGTGTGTTGACTCCAGCTAGGTGTTCTATTCCTCCCCCCCCCCCCCCCACTATATGCTGACACCACCCAGGGCCACCTCCTGCCGATCAGGCCAACGCTGTCTTTCCCCTTCTGGTCCCATGATGATCCATGCTCAAGCTCCCCAGCGCCTAGCACTATGCTGACCTAGTCCAGCGTCCTGTCCCGCTTCGCCCCAGACTGGTCCGGCTCTTTGCTGCTCCTCCTCCTACCATGTTCTCCCGGTGTCGACCTGTGCAATCGCACCCAGTCTGGCCCGTCCACTCACGCCCCCGCTGGCCCCATGACCTGGATGCCAAACCCAAAGAAATGCCTCCTCCTCGGGTGGCCAGGCGATGGTAGCCCCACTGCAGGAGGGTGCACCCCAGGGCGCCCTCCACGCCTCACCTGCATTCAGGTGAGCAGAAGGGGGGCACCGCCTCTTGGCCCATCAGCTGCTCAGACTCGGCGTCCCAGGAGCTCCCGCGCCGTGGAGACACACCCAGTGACATGAACCAGACAGGCTACCCACCGGTGGGTGGCACCGGAGACCAGGACCCCCACGCCCACCTGTGTCCCCGCCTCAGCTGGCGCCCGGCTTTCGGTCCGTCCCGCCCTTACCCCCCGGAGAAGCACCTACGACACTGTCGCGAGCCGAGCAAACACTGCCCACCGCGCACGCGCGCCGCGGCCCACCGCAGACGACAAGCCCAGGCCCCGCCCCCGTGGGACACTACCAAGGCAGGCGCAGGGGTGCGAGCCGTACCACCCAGCAGCCGTGGGGGCGTCTGGAGCGGGCTGCGCCTTGTGCAGCGAGCTAGGCTGGATTGGACTGTCGTGACTCAAGCTGGCGCTGGAACCCTGAAGAAGGGTAAGGAGGGGTCCGTGGGGGAATTCCTCAAGAACACTCAACTGAGACCCTACTTCTGCGTGGACCTGCCCCCAAGACCGCCCCTACGTATATCCACCCCATCACCCCGGGGCCTCTGAGGTCGCAGATCAGTGGTCGAATGCAAACGCACGCGTGCGTCTCCCGTTTGGTGTTGCCGAGTTGTGGTCCGGCGCTCAGAGCTCCCGGTGATTGGTTCGAGCCAGCAGATTGTGCTCAGACGGGCCGAATGGACCACAGTGCGTCCCTTACTACAACAGCATTGTCTTCCAGGCAGTGGCACCCGGCTCCTGTCTACACAGTGGGTTCTGCCCCAAAGTCAAGGACAGTTGAGGAGCTGCCCCGTGCTCCTGCCAACAGCCAAAGCTACTTGGCCCTGGATCCCTAGAAGCAGCATTACCGGAAGGGCAAAGACCTCCCAACCCAGTTCACCCATGCCATGCACCTACCAACGACCTGAGGCCATTAGGAGAGCAGTGGCTGGAGCAGAGTCGGTCCCCTCTCTCTGAGTAGATGGCCAGCACTTGGAGAGCCCACCGTGGCTCTGGAGTCACACAAATGGCCTCAGCACTTCTTGCGCAATGTCAGCTAGTCAGGTGTTCTCAAATTCTTATCTCTCATCCAGAGAGCGCAGTTGTCCACCCTACCCTGGATTGTATCACGCCTTACCTTGAGGTAGGAGAGCTAGCTAGAGAAGACTCTAGAAGGAATAAATTCCTGTGCATACCCCACCCTCCTGGTTCTGATTTTTGTCTCTGGACACAAGGAATTTCAACACAGTTAACCAGGCCACCTGCAAAAGAACCTTTGAGAAACACCACACACAGGATGGATAAAATGGCCAACGAACTGTGATATAAGCCCTATGTCCCCATGACTCGTGCATAAGGGTCCCTTTGGAAGTGTCACTGAATCGTCTGTTCAGGAGAAAGATGTCTATTGACACTCAATTTTTGTGTTTCCCCGATGTTTCATTAATATTTGTGGCACCCCTGAGCCCATGGTTAGTGCCTCAGTTCGTGCCTCCCTGCTGTACGGTGTAAGCAACCACAGTAAAGACCACCCTGAGCTACATGAGACCCTGTCTCAAAATAACAGCAAAAAGTGAGCTGGGTGTGCCGGCATTGGTTTGTAATCCTGACCCTTCGGGAGGTGGAGATAGGGTGACTGGTCAAGATTGATGCCTCCTCTAAGTACTCTAAACTTCCTGTGGGCCAGGTGCCAAGCTGCTCACTCATCCATTCAGACGTTCCAGAGCCTGCCCAGGCACCGTGAGAAACACTCCAGAGGAAGAAACCCAGTGCTCCTTGACTGAATCTCTAGGCTGCTGCCCTCAGATGCTGTGCCGCAGGCCATTTGGAGAAGGCAAATTTGGAATGAGTTTAACGGAGGTGGTGCTGAGGGACCGTTTAACACTCATTTCCCGGGATGGTAGCAAAGTGCGCTCATGCCACGTTTCATTGTTTCCAGACGGTTTCCTTCTACCACGTGAGTCCTGGGTACGGATGTCTGGTGTGGCATGCTCGGGAATACACACAAATAAAACAGTAAAAAGGAGGGCCGGGCGGTGGTGGTGCGCGTCTTTAATCCCAGCACTCGGGAGGCAGAGGCAGGCAGATCTCTGTGAGTTCGAGGCCAGCCTGGTCTACAGAGTGAGTTCCAGGAAAGGCTCCAAAGCTACACAGAGAAACCCTGTCTCAAAGAACAAACAACCAACCCCCCCAAACATAATAATAATAATAATAATAATAATAATAATAATAATAATAATAATAATAATAATGAGAAGATTTTCCTTACAAGGCATTAGCAGGTGGGGAATACATCTCCTCTTGCCGTGAGTTTGAAAGAGAGCAGGAGCCAGGCAGTGGTGGTGCATGCCTTTAATCCCAGCACTTGGGAGGCAGAGGCAGGCGGATCTTTGTGAGTTCGAAGCCAGCCTGGTCTCCAAAGCGAGTTCCAGGAAAGGCACAAAGCTACACAGAGAGAAACCCTGTCTCGAAAACAAACAACAAAAAAATGGAGGGGTATATGGGAGGGGTTTGGGGGTGAGGAAAGAGAAAGGAACAATGTTGTAATTGTATTATAATCTCAAAAGAAAAAATTTCTCCTACCTAATTCTTGCCTCTGGACTCAAACATGACAGAGTGCTCAAAGGGGTGTGTCTCCAGGTGAGAGAGGAAGAGATCTGTGGAGCTATTCCCCAGATGAAATAGTGTTCATGGGAACAAGAGACACAGGCTCACAAATCTAACCCACGTGGCCTGTTACTTGCAAGTGCCTCTCCTCCTTGTCCCTCCTGCGTGTAATGTGCCCGTCCCTTGTCTTTTGGTGCAGGACGGTGCAATGCTGTCTTTAGGGACAAACTGGCTGTCAACTTGCATCTCACAAGGGAAAATGCCCTTAAAAAGGGTTAAGTGAGGCAGAATGGAAAGGCAGGCCAAATCAAGAAGCTGTGGGAAGGGAAAGGGGTCCCTCACCTTGGAGTCTGAGTGAATTCACTGTAAAGACTGCCTACAATATTCCTTTTTATTTTATTTTGCTATTTATTTATTTGACAGGATTTGACAGTCCTGGCTGTCCTGGAACTCGAATTGTAGGCCAGGCTGGCCTTGAACTCACAGAGATCTGCCTGCCTCTGCCTCCCGAGTGCTGGGATTAAAGGCGTGCATGACCACCGCCTGGTGCAACATTCCTTTTCAATAGAGATATTGCAAACCACACTGTTAAAATAGCAACGAGTCATACTTAAGGTCTAAACACGAGTGATTTTGGAGTTTAACTTCACTCTTCTCCCAGCCATAAACCTAGAGTTTCCTGGGCAGTTCACAGACAAGATTGTGAACTTTGTCCACAGTCAGGCAGGCATATGTCTTAACTCCCTGTGTCCTAATAAAGATTTCTTCCACCCTTGTGACCTGTGTTCTTACTTTGTCAGGCTGTAATCCTGTTCACTGTTCCTCAAAAACTGTGCTATGACTTCATTTACTAAGAGAAAAGTAAGTGCTTGGTCTTGGCTCTGTGCTGTCTTTTTTCATAAGTACTTGACTATTGACACCCAAGCTTAACCCTATGTGAAAGCATTTTTTTTTGTTTTTATTTTTATTTTTTCTAAGACAGGGTTTCTCTATGTAACAGTCCTGGCTGTCTTGACACTGGCTCTGTAGACCAGGCTGGCCTCGAACTCATAGAGATCCACCTGTCTCTACCTCCCTAGTGCTGGGATTAAAGAAATATGCCATCACACCCTGTCTAAAACATTTTTCTTAATAAACCTACAATTCTGCTTTATACTGACTTGTTCTGAAACTTTTCGTTCTTCTGTTATGGCAAAAGTGGCAGCCTCACTTTTGATGAGGCCAGTGCTCACCCCTTTCCTTAAGCCCCCCATTTTCCAATTCAAAACTTGCCTGAGACTCTGTACTCAGTCTGTCATTTTTTTATTTTACCTGCATGTGTATCTGCATACCACATGAATGCAATTCCTGAGGAGGCCAGAAGAAAGGGTCAACTCCCTTGGAACTGGAGTTACAGACTGTCCTGAGCTACCATGTGGGTGTTGGGAATGGGACCCAGGTCCTCTGGAAGAGCAGCCAGTGTTCTTAACCACTGAGCCCTATTATCTGTATAACCGCTGGGACAAGCCTCCTGACATCCAGTATCAGATGGAGCAGTACACTGTTGGAACCCAGGTCTATGATGTGTCAAAGGCTCAGTCACGAGCTCCTCCTTGCACTTGGTCATTCCCAGGGGCACATTCCAACCTAATTCTCAGCAATCCTGTTAAGTGTTTAAGGTCCTGACCTTGGGCCAGTTTTACCAAGAATCCTACCAAGCTGGTGAAAAATCCACCCTTGCTTTCAGATGAAATTCCTGCAAATAGGCAGCCTTATCATCACTTGGCCTGCCCTCAGGGAGAAGCCTCTTGAGTCCATGTAGCAAGATCAATGCCCTCGCCTGGGTGTTTATTTCTTCTCTGTAATTTCCCACTGCAGACTCCCACCTAGTCCCACTTCCTTCACATTCACCTTGAGTCCTTTCTGCTTCCTACCATAGAACCTCACTGCGGGGTACCACTCTTTCCCCAGCAGACCTCTGGGGAAAGCCTCACTGACTGTTCCTAATTTTTTTTCTTTGACTATTGCAAATTTGTTGTTGTTGTTGTTGTTGTTAAAGACAGGAATTCTCTGTGTAACCCTGGCTGTCCTGAAACTCATTTTGTAGACCAGGCTGGCCCTAAACTCTCAGAGATCCACCAGTCTCTGCCTCCCGAGGGATTAAAGTTGTATGCCACCATCGCCTAACTGACAATTGCAAAATTAAAGCTCCTTTAAACACACACACACACACACACACACACATACACACACACACACACACAAAAAAAAAAAACATAGTCATATAGGGAAGCATCTCTTCCCAAAGCCTTCCTTCCAGCTGATATGAACATACACTGTGTCCATTTCTTTACCTAAAAGCATTGTCCTCTGGAAACCTGATGAGTTCTGAGCCATGAGGGACAGTGCCTGCAGCCGGGAATGGACCTTTAGACAGGGAGTTACTGGTTAGGTGACCTTGAAGCACCAGAACCTTCCTAAACCAAACCTGTGATTACAGTGTTGTTGGTCTCCACAGTGAGAGCAGGAGTGACCTCATGGCTCCAAACCCTTTGCCCAATGAATGCCAGCCACACAGCATGGGCGGGGCTCATGGGACGTGGGAGGTTAATGGTTACAAAGACATTGCCCTGTCAGTCAACATACATATCCTGACAGTGACTTGCACTGCTCTAATCTGGGTGACTTACTCCTGTGGGGACATGCGTCCATATCTAGGGACTTTTCTTGGTTTTCACAACTTTGGAGGTAGGGTGGGGAGATAGTTCTTGCTTCCTGAGGGGAAAAGGTACCAGAGATTGTAGAATACCAAGTCAATCCACAGCAGCAATTATCGTGGAGGGTAAAAAGCCACATCCAGGAAGGAGAACACCCCCAGCTTAACACTACAATACCACTACCACGTTTAGTGGTCATGCCATTTTAGTAGGAGTCATGGGTGGCAGAGGGGGAACCTTCAGTGGAGTAGGAATTGTCAGGGGAGAACATCATGCTTCAGGGGGACCCATTAAGTGTACGCAATACTCTAGGAAGAAACTATGAGGAAGAGTGCTGTGCTCCCGGTGGACTTTCCACTACCCCACAAAGGACAATGTCTCTGCTGTACTTCCTGGGAGGGTGCCAACCAGGACTGGGACTCAGGTGATACAGAAGGTTTTCTTTGTTTTGTTTTGCTTTTTGCTTTTGGTATGCATTCTTACAAAAAGTATATATGGAGACCAGAGGAGGACATTAAGAGTGCCATTTGTCCTCAGATGCCTTGTGAGAGTCAAAGTTGACATTTTAAGTTTTAATTACTATGCCATAGAGATCCGTGAAACAAAAATACATCTGATGTGCAAGCCCCTTGCCCAAGGGACAGAGAGTTCCTGAAATGCTGGAGGCTATTGTTTATGGGAGATAACAAGCCACATGTTTTCACTCTCTTAAACAAGTTTGTTTGACCCATATGCACCAGATGTGCTTGATCACATGTGGGCACAAGATTCACAGGCAGGGAATATGTCAGGATGTATGCTTGCCCCTGATTGGACCTGATGGGAAATACTTAAGCCACTGCAAACCAATTCAGGGCCACTTTCTGGAAACCCAGAGATGGACCTAGCTAGAATCCATTCACCAGGCCAGTATTTAATTAAAACTTGCTTCAGATTTGGCTTTAAACTGTGGTAGTGGTCTAATTCTTGACCTGTGGGGTTAACAACCTTCCACCTTGTATTTGAAACTGATTCTTAGCCGGGCATTAGTGACCCACGCCTTTAATCCCAGCACTCGGGAGGCAGAGCCAGGCGGATCTCTGTGAGTTCGAGGCCAGCCTAGTCTACAAAGCGAGTTCCAGGAAAGGCGCAAAGCTACACAGAAAAACCCTGTCTCGAAAAACAAAAAACCAAACAAAACAACAACAACAAAACTGATTCTTCTTAACCTGGAAGTTTGCTACATAGACCAGGCTAGCTGGCCAGTGAGTGGATCATGTCCTCTCGAGTCATTATTGTGTGCCACCACAGCTGGCTTTTTAACATGGGTGCTAGGGATCCAGATTTTTGTCCACATTCCTAACTCAGGCACTTTACTGACTGGACCAATTCCTCAGCCAGACCTAGAGGGGTTTAGGCCACATTTTTCCTTCTCTTCTTTGAATTTCTCTTTCCTCCTCTTTTCTTCACCAACTTTTTCCTTCTCTTTGTTTTCTTTTCCCTCCTTTTCTGCCTGTGCCTCCTTCCATGATGCTGGGCAAGCACTCTCAGCCCCATTTCCAGCCACAGAAAAAAGACATCATTTTCTTTTTTCAAAGACAGGCAGGGTTTCATTGTGCTGACCAGGCTGGTTTCAAACTCGTAGGCTCTGTAAACCCTCCTAAACCCTTCTGCCTCAACTTCCTGAGTGCCTGGGACGACAGAGACAAGGGCATATGAAAACATTTAGTGAAGTACAATATAATAATGCCCCTGTTTCAAGAGTTAGTTAGACTGTGATAAAGTAGGCAAGATCAAGAAACAGTAACAGATGCCTTGGAACAAAAGGATTCCTACAGGAAATACTGTAACAACTTAGACTGAAATACTGTAGCGAGGATGTTTACCTAATGTTTAATGGCTACCAGTGAAATCAGAGCTCCAGTGAATAGTGCTTGGGAGGTAGAGTCGGCTTAGATTCTTTTTTTTTGTTTGTTTGTTTTTTTGTTTTTCGAGACAGGGTTTCTCTGTGTAGCTTTGCACTTGTCCTGGAACTCACTTGGTAGCCCAGGCTGGCCTCGAACTCACAGAGATCCGCCTGGCTCTGCCTCCCGAGTGCTGGGATTAAAGGCGTGCACCACCACCGCCCGGCTGGCTTAGATTCTTAATTGAGCTTCAGAGCAAACAGATGACCTCTAACCTCAGACCTGTATTCTTTCAGCCTTTCCCCAACTTTTAACAGCACATCCATTTTCACATAGTATTCCAAATTCTAAAGAAAGTGGTGTCTATAGCACACAACACCTGATCCACCCCCAAACATTGACTTACAAAAAGTTAATGCGTCTAAATGGAAAAAATAGAGGCACCAACTCAGGAGGTGTGGGTTGACTTGATGTTCAAGGAAAAAGACAGAAGGGGCTTCAAACAAGAGGAGAGAAGACCCCGAGGATAAAGGCTTCGTAGAATGGGCTCAATTTCTTACCTATAGTCTCCATAAAAACACCCAATACCTAGCTAACTCCCCCAACTACCCACCTAGAGGGGGTTTGAGATGGAAAACCCTACTTCATTGTCAAGACTGGACTTGGATAAACTCCCTTCCTTCCATCCAAGTATTTCCTGGTTTTCCGAGAGGCAGTGAGCAGGGAATATCCTCAAGGTCTTGTAACAGTAACACACAGTTTCTTCTATTTGTTAATTGCCAAACTGAAAACTTACCTAAACGTTTGCTTTCCAGTGTTCTCATCACAGGCATCTGCCTGGCCCGCGAGTTTGTAACTGAGGATCATGCTGAACCAAAGCGGCTGATGAACCAGGAACCAAATCCCAAACAATCCCAGTGGTGCAGAGGAGCCAAGGCTCCGGATAGCCTCCCAGCCACCCGGAATCAGGGCATTTCCTGCTTCTCAGGAGGCTCACAGAACGAGGCAGGCAAGGTAATTTTAATAATGACTTTGTAGGCAGGGCTTCATCAGGAATGAAGCCCAAGTCATCCTACATGAATGAGCATCCCAGGATGTCTAACAGGAAGCAGGCCTGCTACCAAGGGATGCAATCATGCCCTGCCTGCTGCTGACCCACATGACGTGGCCAGCCCGAGCCCAGTTGTCAGACCTGTTGTGTGAGCTGATCAAAGTAGAGACTATCACATGATTCAGTGTGATCCAGCATCCTGTCAGACCTGTGTGGGCAAGCAGCCTCCCTAGGCAGATGTGACCCAGTTGGTAAGTGTAGAAGGAGAGCCACACATCCCAGCAAGGGTACACACAATTAGCTGATTTCTAAGCACACAGCGACAACACTCTTTTTGGGGGGTAGGGGTGGGTAAATGCTGAAAGATCAGAGACAAAACAACAAGCCACTAGAGAAGCTTGTCACTTGCCGGGCGGTGGTGGCACACGCCTTTAATCCCAGCACTCGGGAGGCAGAGGCAGGCAGATCTTTGTAAGTTTGAGGCCATTCTGGTCTACAGAGCAAGATCCAGGAAAGGCAAAGCTAGCAAAGCTACACAGAGAAACCCTGTCTTGAAGAAAAAAAAAAAAAGAGAGAGAGAGATAGATAGATAGAAGCTTGTCACCTCTACCGAATCCTTAGGCCCAAAGGGAAGATCCTGTCTCCACAAATCCTCAGACTGAATGCCCCTGAGTCCTCAGCTGAAAAGGCAAGATCCTGTTTCCTCCCACCTTATATTCCTTTCTCTGCCTTGCCATATCACTTCCTGTCTTAACCTTCCTAGTGCTGGGATTAAAGACATGTGACTCCCAAGTACTGGGATTAAAGGTGTGTAGCACCACTGCCGGGCTCTGTTTCTCTTTTAGACTGGATTGATCTTGTGTAGGCCAGGGTGGCTTTGAACTCACAGAGATCCAGACAGATCTCTGCCTTCCGAGTGTTAGGATTAAAGGTGTGTGCCACCACTGCCTGGCCTCTGTGTTTAATCTAGTGGCTGACTCTGTCCTCTGATCTTCAGGCGAATTTTGTTTGTTAGAGTACAAACAAATTATCACCACACAGCACTATGTCTGCTGACATGCCCCTCACCGTGAGGATAACTGAACTTCTGAAACTGTAAGCAAGCCCCAATTAAATGGCTTCTTTTTAAAGAGTTGCCATGGTCTCTGTATCTCTTCACAGTAACAGAACACTGACTAAGACACCCTGCAAGTCTGTCTTGGGGGGGGGTCCCGAAGTGAGGTTAAAGTTTGAATAGAGGGCCAGAGAAGAGATATGCACATCTCAGCAGTCTCGGTCAAGGCGTGATCCCACCCACCATTGACCCATGGTCTGGGCTTCAATCTCATCATGTATGGTGACATATATGGTCTGACAAGTTGTTAAAACTGTGAAACATCTTTCCGGGACACAAATTTTCCCTCTGGCTGGGGCTTTTTTTCTCCACCCCATATGAGATTCCTGGGGAATTCTCATTAGAGGGCAACAACATTCTTATCAATACATAATTCAGCTTTTTTTTTTCCTCCAGAAATTAACAATGGTTTATGTTAATAGCCACCAAGAAACAGGCAGTGTCTACTTTGTAGACAACAGCACGGCAGTTCATGTAAGTGTTCTCCATTGCGGAAGCATTCTCAGTTTTAGGCCTTATGTTGGTGTGGTATTTGCACATTTGTTGAGGTTTTCAGGTTTTCACTTGCTGTGTTGTATGTGACTTCAGACATCCTTGGGGCCTGGCTATATACACCCAAGTGCACAGAGGTGGGAAGATAACTAAGGGCTTTTCATAGGCACAGGGTTAACCCAGAGTGATGTGATCTGCCCTGTCTATCAAGCTCCTCCTCCCGCCCCTCCTCTCTAGCTCCGCCCCTGCTCTCTAGCTCCGCCCCCTGCTGCAGCCTTAAACCTTGGTCCCTATTCTCTGCCAACTTCTTTTTGCTTGCAGGCTGGCTGGGTGCTCCTTGTCACCTGTTTGGTGTGGTGTTCCTTCTGTTTCTGTGTGAATAGTTTTTTTTTTTTTTCCACAATAGTCTTCTATGCCCTTGTCCTGCCACACGTGCGAAAAGCAAACTCTGGGTACATTTTTAAATGATCTGCTAGACTCTAGCAGTCTAGATCACCTAGTGTCTAGGTGAATGATCCTTGGTCACCAGACCTGAGCAGTGATGGGTGGACACTAGGTTCTGTGGGCAAGAAGACCCCTCGGTGGTCTACACAGGAGAGCAAGACCTGTGCTCCAATGGCTGGGGATGGGGAACTCTGGAGTTCTGGACTGAGCCATGGGGGTCCATATCTCTTCTGTCGTCCTTGTCTAGTTAGATGTGGGAGAGAGGGGCATGGAGAGGCTGCCACACACCTGCCACCGTCAGCTGTATGCCACACAGCAAACAGCACACTATCCCTCAGCCCTGGCATGCTGTGGATTCTGCCTGTGTGACTGGCTTCCTCTGAGTGGGTATCGTGACACTCTTTGGGCTCTGTGGGGCTGCAGTCTCCCAGGGGCTCTTCACCTACACAGCTAGTGCACGTACCTAGGCAGCTGGGGGAGTGAGGGTGTCTCAGCTCTAGCGACTCTCTCCACAGGATGCCTGGTCTTCTCTGCTATGTGGCTGCTGGATTCTGTGGGAAAGTAGCATCACAGAGCAAGCACACATGGCCTGCTGAGACTGTCACACCATTCATTCTGAAATTCTTTAATTTTGTGGGTTTCCTATGCAGGGATGTCTGTGTAACATTTACATGCCTGGTGCCCTCAGAGGCCAGGAGTAAATATACGACCTCCTGGAACTGGTGTTACAGACAGTTGTGAGCTGTCTTGTGGGTGCTGGGAATCAAACCTGGATCCTCTGGAAGAGCAGCCAGTGCTTTTAACCACCGCACCATCTCTCCAGCCCCTGCGCTACTCTTTTAAATGACCAGCATGCCAAAGGCAGCCACACGGCTAAGGCCTCAGTGGAGGGAAGGGATAACATTAACGGACACCAGTCTGGTCATCTTGATAGACTCTAGGTGCTTCTTAACAGTTAGATGTTAGGAGTTCAGGCTACAGTCTCAATGTGTGCCTTTCCCCAATCTCATGAAATCCTCACCTACAAAGTGAGGTACTGAAGGGTATTTTTGGAAGTTATGAGGCCAGAAAGGTACAGTTCCATGTTGGGATTAGAGTCCTTATGAAAAAAAAAAAAACCCAGGGTGGTCTTTGCCCTGTGTGTGGGGACACAAAGAGAAGACAGCTGACTATGAACCATGAAATAGCTGTCAGCTGGGACAGGGTCTGCCATGTCCAGCTCTAGGGGGCCCAGCATTGTGAACTGTGAAGCAAATGCCTGCTACATCATCTACCAGCTAATGAATTCCATCTGACTGACACCCGTGGGTTCGCAGAGGGTCCTCCACTGTTTTCTACCACTCACTAGGGACATAACAGACTTGTGGCTCCAGAAGGGCCTAGAGGGGAGGGGATGAGATCCCCTCTCAGGTCTGTTTCCACGCTCTCCCAGCCTTGTGGGGAGCTCTGTGGCTGACTGGCTGCACCATACTCCTGATGGTGCTCGTCTCTGGAGTCTACTGCCTACTCCAGCCCCCGGGAGATGGTCGGCCTCAGGAAGGAGCCTCCCTTCGGTCCTCAGCTATATAACCTCACCTCATGGATTGGCCTGGAAGCCCTGGGAGCCACATAACTCCTGCTTCCCCAGGATTATTCTCACAGCGAGCTCCTGTGCATTATGAATAATGAAAGTCACTTAGGTGGTATGGCCGCGGTCTTCATAGGAAACCCTACAGGTCTGGGCTTTCAGGCTGTTTCCGAGGGTCAAACAGATGCCGCCCGACGATGTGTCTAAAGACCCCATGCGGAGAGTCCTCACACTGGATGCCTTGGAACCACTGCCCTGGGCTCAGACAGTCTCTGATGGCCTCTCTCACAGCTCCGTATCTACCTTCAGGGATGCAGAGGCGTTCTCAGGAATGAGGATGCAAGGTCCAAAGCCAAGTGCGAGTGTCTCTCCCTGTCTTCCTCTAGTGTGTAGGCTGGTTATAGAGGAGAAGGTCTGGCTGGTATGGGGAAAGCCACCTTTGGGAGGATGTCTAACCTCTGGCTTATTATTCAGTTTTACAATATGAGGCACCGGAAATGCCACGTCTCCAGATGTAATAATTCATGACGTAGTTTTCATTCTTCTTGTCTCACTACGTAACACGGTAGCAGCACCGTGCAAATGCAAACTGTTTTCCTCTGGATGGCAGTGCTTTGGTTCTGCTCAGGGGAACTGCTTTTGGCATGTGTATGTATGCACCTGTGTGTGTGTGTGTGTGTGTGTGTGTGTTCTCATGCGTGTGGCTACACAAGCATGTAGGTACATGTCCACATGTGTGGGGGCCAGAGGTTTACACTGGTTGTCTTCCTTGGTCACTCTTTGCTTTGGCTAGTTTTGCCAGCCACCTGGCCCCAGGGATCCCCTGTCCTGCCCCACCGGTGCCGGGATTATAGGGGGCACCCAGACCTGCCAGATGTTTCTATGGGTTCTGGGAATCCGAAACTCTGATCCTCTCGTCTATGCTTCTATTGCTTTTTGTACTGAGGCACCTCCCCAGCCCTAGGAACTCTTTTTTAATCTTTATTTTTTCATTCATTTTTAGGCATCAAGGGAACTAGTCTTTCTCCTGAAAACATCAGTATAAACTCTAGCACAGTGGTCCTCAACCTTCCTAACGCTGCGACCCTTTAATACAGTCCCTTATGAAAATAAAATTATTTTCATTGCCATTTCATAACTAATTTTGCTACTGTTATGAATCATAAGGTAAATGTCTGTGTTTTCCGATGATCTGAGGTGACCCCGGTCCTGACCCACAGGTTGAGAACCGTTGGTGTAATAGCTACAAATATAGAAAGAGAGAGTCAGAAAGAGACAAACTCAAAGACAGAGAGATATTAGAGACAACGAGGGGGCATGGCTGTATCCCTGGGAAGGGTTTTTCTACAGGCCATAGAAGTCTCTGTGCACTTGAATCTTGGTAAGTGAGGCTCCAGAACACTGACAGAAGCCAGCATGGGAAGGCCGGAATGGTGGGTGGGCCAGCAGCTCCAGCTCCACCGACAGTTTGGACTCAGAACTGTGGAATATTCTCTCCGTGACCAGCTAATAGGCCAGTGAGGTGGTGAATGCGTCTCCTCCCTCAGAGGAGTGTGCAGTCCTGTGGGTCCCATAACTACCTGGTCTGGAGAGACAGAATCTAGAGAGACACCCTTGAACCAAGCTAGGCTGGCCTAGTAGGGGATTGCGATGAGACCCAGGAGGAGGTCACTGACGTGACTAGTCTGTGGAGCAAGGCACCATCCTTTAAATGGTAGCCTCATTTGCTTCTAGGGTCCTATGATGATGTCTAACCGTGGAGAGTAGGTGGAGTGAATGGGTCTCTCCACGTGCTCCTAGGGCCCCTTTGCTCCATCCTAAGGTGAAAGTGGTACCCAGGAAGCATTTAGGGCTGTGGTGGGTCCTGCCTGCAGGATGGCTTCCCAACATGCCCGTGAGGTGCTAAGTCCCTCTGGAGAAGTCCTCTCCAGGAACCAATGTCTGTGAATGGAAAACGAGCATTCAGTAGTCGGGAAAATGTCAAGAGCTTTGGCAGAAAAAGCCCAAGAGCTTCCCATAGAAGGACCCAAGTCCCGAAAATACCGGCCTGAGTGCTCACTAAACAGATGAGCTAGTGGATGTCAGAGCAAAGCCAGAGATCCGTGAGGAAAGCTCCAGATGCCAAGATGATCTACTCAGAAGGGAGGGATAAAGTTTGAAAACACTTCCCAGAATTCCCAAGGAAACATATGATAAATCAAGC